AAAACCTGATTTCATCCGTAGTGATATTGTATAAGATTCAATGTCTTCACTCGCACATGGTTTACATGACAGACAAATTTCCTTACTCTTGTGAGCAGAAGGAATCCTGGGGATAATTGGCTGATAACCAAGAGGTTGGCAGTTCAAACCAAGTCGTGTCTCTGCAGAAGAATAGATCTGAACTGATCTGCTTCCAGAAAGAGTGTTGTTGTTGTTAAGTGCCTTAGAGTCGGTCCTGACTCATAGTGACCCTGGATAGGATTTCCAAGGACCGGCTGGTGAGCTTGAACCACCGATTTTGTGGTTCAAACCACTTCTCAGTGTAGTGCATTAATCCATAACACCACACCAGGATTCCCCCCAAAAGGTGACAGCCTAGGAAATCCTATGGGACAGTTCTATTCAGTCATATAGGGTCACTGTGAGTTTGAAATTGATGCAATGGCACACAACAACAACAACATCAATAAACTCCAAATTTAGATTACTGTACCAGCATGGCAAGCAGTAAGATACTCTGTGAAATTCAGGGCATGACTTACTGATGAAGCACAGCCTTTGGTATGGATTACACCTCAATGCAAAGAAAACAAAAATCCTCACAACGGGACCAATAAATAACATCAAAATAAATGGAGAAAAGATTGAAGTTGTCAAATACTTCATTTTGCTTGGATCAACACTCATGGAAACAGCAGTCAAGAAATCAAACGACATATTACATTGGGCAAATCTGCTGCACAAGACCTCTTTAAAGTGTTCAAATGTCAATTGGAGGACTAAGGTGCACCTGACTCAAGTTATGGTATTTTCATTAACCTCATATGCATGCAAAAGTTGGACAGTGAATAAGGAAGACCATAGAAGAGTTGATGCATTTGAGTTATGTTGGTGGAGGAAAATATTGAAAGTGCCATGGGCTGCCAAAAGAACAAACACATCTGTGTTGGAAGAAGTGCAGCCAGAGTGCTCCTTGGGAGCCAGAATGGCTAGGCTTTGTCTCTCATACTTTGGACATATTATCTGGAGGGACCAGTCCCTGGAGAAGGTTATCATGTTTGGTAAAGTACAAGGTCAAAGAAAAGGAGGAAGACTCCCAGTGAGATGGATTGGCACAGTAGCAGCAGCAATGGGCTCAAGTGTAGCAACACTTGTGAGTTTGGTGGAGGGGGGGGGGGCAGTGTTTCATTCTGTTGTGCATAGGTCGCTATGAGTTGGTACCAACTTGATGGCACCAATAAACAATAATGAAGCTTGATCTTATAATTGAGTTTTGTTTTTTTAAATTTTAAATTACACCACCAATATTTATTGATGGATCAAGATGGATTACTAGAGTTTTAATGGAACAATAGGGCACAACTGCGAAATTAAAGCATCTTGTTGTACAGCTGAAGGGGGGGTGAAGGGAAGCTATAATCTTAGGAATTTTAAATATGCAAGTCAAGGAGCCTGTAACAGATCAGTATCAGACCCTCCTTCCTTTTTATACAACTCCTATAATAACTACATCACTTAATCACAAAGTCAGACAATTGCCTTATAAAGAATTCATCATTCCTTTGTATTTGAGCCATCCAACCTGGTCACTCCCCTAGTCCTTATCCCTTCCTCATCTCTTACAGTGGTATTCTTTAATAAGTCCCTTCTAAAAGAATTGTGTGGACATCTTAGATCACTTTTTAAGGCAAGGAAATAAGCAAGCAAGAAAGCAATGGGTCAGAGAAAGTCAGCTAAAGGCAGATACACCAATGAATGGATTTGCACAGACAGCTAGTGATGCAGTGAGGTCTAAACGAAGCTGACTTCGGCAGAGAGGTTGCTCTGGCTTGCTCAGAGACCCCTAATATGATCTCATGCTGTGTTATCAACGCAGGTTTCTTGTTTCTGAGGGATTGGTTGTGGTCCAGATGAAGAGCTAGGACGCCAATGTAACCAGGGAACTAAGGTTAACAATACAGTCAATGCTTTGGATTTGTTTCTACTATGAGCTGACTGTGGCTTCTAGTATAATCCTTCTCCAAGTGTAAAGTTCACAAAGAATTTCATGCAAAATGTCAAGACACTGAGGATAATCTTTAATATCTTGGGCTGGGATACAGTCGGCACTTCCTTAACTAATCTTCCTACTTGGAGACGTTAAGTAAAAAACATTCCAGTGCATATAACACTGAAGCATACACCATGCTGCCGAGATGCGAATACAGGCTACTTTGTAGGATGCTAGAGGCTTCTCAGAAAAGCCACGAGAAAGTTCCTAAGCATATTGTCAGACAGCCATTCTGGTGGTGATAGTACCCCCAGTCTAGGCGAAACCCCAGGCAGATGGCTGTCTTCTGAAGAGGAAACAGTACACTAACAAGGGTAGTCACGTTGGTAATCATAGTGCGAATCAGAGACCAGAGGTAGAGTGGCCTGCGCAAAGCCACCTGGAGGACTTGGCTTGATATCTCTGATCAAGAACATTGCCATCTAGCAACTCTCTGATGACAGAGCAGAGTGCAGGGGACAGGAGACGTCACATTCTTCTGAGAGAAGTGTGACATTGAAATTCTTCAATTTCATCATCATTGGCTTCAGTGATTGGTTACCTAAGAGCTCCTGGAGAGGCTACATCATCCTAGGGACCCATTCATGAGTAAAGGTACATAAAACCTGCCAGACCACTGCACTATCCTGCCAAGTTAGAAACAAATTGATCAGGCATTGCTTGGAAGTGCCATGCAGAACAGAGGGTTTCTGAGGCTTAACCAAAAGCAGGGAGACAGACAGACTAAGTGAATGGCGTGTTGGGTGACTGAGAAGTAGGAAGCAAAGGACAAATGAAAAGAAAAGGATGGAGGAGCATGTTGTCAGGGAGGCCCAGTCCCTGAAGAAGGACATCATGCTTCGTAAAGTGGAGGGTCAGCATAAAGATGGACTCACACAACGGCAGCAACATTGGACTCAAAGGTGACAACAATTGTGAGGCTGGCACAGGACGGGGAAAGGGTTCGTTCTGTTGTGCATAGTCTCTACTAGTTGTAACCAACTCAACAACAGTAAGAACAAAAGTAGAAAGATTTGATGGATTTACAGTGTATGAGCATACCCGAACCGTCGGATTTCTAGTTATTCTTCCTGTGATTACTAATAAGATGAAGCACTTTCTAAGTTTATATAAGTATGTCATTTTTGTGTCAACATGAAATTGTTACATAATTTAGTGAAATACATATGCCACCAATCATGGATAACAGAGGAACCCAATAAAATTTCAAATCTTGAGATAGCAAAATAGCTAAGAAATATTTTTACCATTTAATCTCTTTATAAACAATAACTCAACCCTTCTTGCAAAATAAAACAATACACATTGGAGACATCACTCTTTTCTTCCTCTGCCTTTAGTTCCCTGTACCTGAAAGACAGGAAACAACGACAGATGCAATAAAACAGCAAAATAACTCTACTCGGTTCCTCCGCAGAAAATTAAACAGAATCGAATACAAAGCAAACACAGGTGTCATCTGTACAACTTCCAGAGATTTCCTCTTTCCTTTCCTAGCTGAGGATGAGACCTTCTCAACACTGTTGACACTTTTGGCTTGATAGTTCTTCATTTTCAGGGGCTGTTTTGTGTATTCCAGGAGGTGTAACGGTTTCCATCCGCTAGACTGCGGCAGCAAACTGCGCATTCTCTTCCTGTATTTGCAAGAACAAAGATATCTCTGTTGTTGTCAGTCAGTGTGGAGTTATTTTTGACTGATAGCGACCCCACGTGTGCAGAGTAGAATTCCTTTGTAGGGTTTTCAAGGTGTGTGGCCTTTTGAAAGCAGATCGCCAAGACCGGCTTCTGAGGAGCCTCTTGATGGGGTCAAGCTGCCAACCTTTTCACCAATAGGCTAGTGCTTAACCCTTTGTGCCATCCAGGGACCTAAGATGTCAATAGACAGGTAGCAGAAATAGCTAAATATATGCAGTCTGGTAGAATTTCAGCTTGCCCACTTGAAAGAAAAGATTTCTTAGCATTTCTAACAAGAGACCCCTTTTCTCTTTTATAATATTCTGATTTGAGCTCTGTGATGCTCACCATGTAGTCCACCTGTGTAACTAGGAATCTTGTAGTATCAGCACGTAGCTGGGTTGGACTCATCAGCCTTGCATCTGAAGGTGACACTGACTCCTCGGCGGGTCATTTCCCCCATAAAATTTGCACTGTAAGGACAGAGTAGATGCCACTTTCTTATATTTCATCATGTTCTTTGATTTTGTACAAAGCATGACCACAAAAA